TTAAGCCCCTAAACTCCTAAAACCCAAAGCCCCCAAGCCCCTTGAACCGCCAAGCCGCAACTCCGACACTTTCCTCATCTGATAAGGGGAGTTTGCGAAAATAAGGGACCCCTATAATCGAACCCCCAAATAGTAGGACCCCCTTATGATCCTAATATCGGAAACAATAAGCCCTAAACTAAACCCTAAACCCTCAAACCTCAACCCTAAACCCTAAATCCTAAGCCCTTAGTATCGGAAAACCCCCAATAATCTTCCGAGGCACGAGGACGGCGAGGCGCAAAGCCCCTCGTGGGCCCAGCGCGTGGCCTCTAGGACGGCCATTCAGGGGCTTTGGAGGGCTTAAGGGGATGACACTACTCCTAAGCCCTAAACCCTAAACCCTAAACCCTAAACCCGAATTCTTAGGACTCTTCTTCAGGTTCTTTAATGAACACGAATTCTCAGGAGTCTTCTCCAGTTTTAATTTTAATGGGCCATCCAAGGCCTTCATCCCCGAGATTGAGGAGGGCACTCAGCCACGAGGAGGGTGGGGGGGTAGGGTTTTGGGTTTAGGGTTTAGGGTTTACGGTTGAGGGTTGAGGGTTGAGGGTATAGGGTTTAGGATGTATAGAGAGGGTGTGTGATGGAGAGGGTTGAGGGGGTGTGGGTTTCCAGGAGGACTTCTGTGGATTTTTGCGTGGGGTCTAGGGGCAGTGTTTTGTTGTTTCGTTTTTTTTTTTTTTTTTTTGGGGGGGGGGTTGTTTGGGGCCCAACGGCTCCCCCACCTTCAGTGCCAGTTGAAAGAATAATGCACTACTTGTGCCCCCCCTGTTGAAAATGCTCAGGGAATATCCTCCTTAACTCATGAACCCGTAAACCCCATTTAAGGGGTGGTGGAGTTTTGTGGGGATGTTAGCCCGAAACCCGAAGCCCTAAAGGCCCTGAACCAAAACCGCCGTTTAGGACACTTGCCAGGCAAATAAGGATGCCTGGACCCGTAAGCTGCCAGTTTTCCTGGCCCCCACCCTGGCCCATCAATTTAGGGTTTAGGGTTCAGGGTTTAGGGTTTGGGGATTAGGGTTTAGGGTTTAGGGTTGACAGGCATCCGTTGATGTCTGTTTTAAGTGATGTTTGGGGAGGTGGACTTGCCATGGGGCTCTGCTACACATGGAGGGTTTTCAGGGCTTTTAGGGTTTAGGGTTTAGGGTGACTGAGAAGGACCTGCCCCCAACGCAGAGATGGTGGTGGCGGGGACCCAGACGCCTCGCTTGGAAGAGCTCCAGGCAGGGCCTTGTGCAGGGCTGGTTTTGGGTTTAGGGTTTAGGGTTTAGAGTTTAGGGTTTAGGGCTTAGGGTTTAGGGTTTAGGGTTTATAGGGTTTAGTGTTTAATTTCTTTGAGCATGTTGAGTCATCAATGCGGACGAGTAGGATCTGGGCAGGTCTAGACGCCAAAAGCCCTGAACCGCAAATGGAGTGCAGGGTATAGGGATTCGATTCCAATGTTCATGTGAAGCCAAAGAAAGCAGTGGTCATCACATGCGCGGGGTGAAGAAGATCCATCTTCTAATCATCATTGGAGATGATACTTGGCTTTTCCATTTCCACTGACGGTGTTATCAGGAATCAGCTTGAACAGCCACTAACCGCACCCAGGATGTCCCTTACCAGCTTAGATTGTTCAGATGCGTTTGTCTGACTGACACTCTCGAAAGGAAGCAGTGTAGGTAGGGACCTTCAACTCACCGCCTAAGCATGGCACCCCTGTCGACCCCAAACCTCGAAATTGTAGGCCCGGCCCAAAATTCGAGCCCCAAACACCATAAGGGCCCCTATAAGGGGGATCCCGAAACCAAACCCTGGTTGTAGGAGCCTTATGTTTGTGTGGTTTTTTGGCCCTCTACAAAAAAGCCCACAAAAGCCCAATTCCGCAAGCCCCTAAACCGCCAAACCCTAACTAAACCCCCCAAACCCTATAGGCCCCAAACCCTTAACCCCCGAACCCTGAGTCCTAAACCCTAAACCCCTGAACCCCAAGCCCTAAACCGGCAAGCCCTAAACCGGCAAACCTAAACCCCAAACCCCAAACCCTAAACCCTAAACCCCAAACCCTAAACCCCAAACCCCAAACCCTAAGCCCCAAACCCCAAACCCCAAACCCTAAACCCGAAACCCCAAACCCCAAACCCCAAACCCTAAACCCTCAACCCCAAACCCGAAACCCCAAACCCTAAACCCTAAAACCTCAGCCCTAAACCCTAATTAAATCCTAAACCCCAAACCCCGCCACCCCAAACCCTAAACCCTAAACCCTGCTCTGAGGCGGCTGACCAGCGCCTTGCGAAACTCCGCGCCGAGGTCGAGGCGCTTCGGCGCCGCGAGGCGGGCGCGGCGGGCTTAGGGTTTAGGGTTTAGGGTTTGGGGTTTAGGGTTTGGGGTTTAGGGTTCAGGGTTTAGGGTTTAGGGTTTAGAATTTAGGATCTAGGGTTTAGAGGGTTTAGGGTTTAGGGGATAAGGCCTTGGGTGTTAGTGTTTAGGGTTTACGGGTATAAGGCCCAGGGTGTAGGGCTTCAAAAGGTTTAAGTGTTAGAGCTTTTAGAGGGTTTCAAGAGGGGAGTTTCTCGAACCTGCTAAAGATGGGCTACCGCAGAAGCAATTGTTCTAGTTGATCAAGCTCTAACCCTAAACCCTAAGGCCCAACGCACCAGGCCGCAGTTGAGCAGCACCCGGCCGAAGCCCAAGGCGAGGTTGAGGTTGAGCGAATCGCTGACACCAGGCCGGGGGTTTAGGGTTTAGGGTTTGGGGTTTAGGGTTTAGGGTTTAGGGTTTGCGGTTTGGGGTTTAGGGTTTGGGGTTTAGGCCTTGGGGTTTAGGGTTTTAGGTTTCGGGCTTTAGGATTTGGGGTCTGGGGTTTTGGGCTTGGGGTGGGTTGAGGGGTGTTGAGGATCAAAAAGTCTCTGCCTATACGCCCTATAATGACAAGCTCATTGAAGATCTCTAAGCCTGCGAAGATCCAAATCCCCCAAACCCTATACGTACCCCAAATACCCTATGTAAATGCTGTTTACAAGAGAAGAAGCCACGCACCCAAACCCTAAACCCCAAAACCTAAACCCTAAACCCCAAACCCTAGACCCTAAACCCTAAACCCCAAACCCCAAACCCTAAACCCAAAACCCAAATCCCTGAAGAGGCCCGAGGACTTGGAGCGCATGGAGATGCGCCTCGTGGCCGCCAGGGGAGCAGCCGAGGAAGCGCAGCAGGCGAAGCTGCGCCTGATCAAGTGGAGTTTGGTGCTTGGGGTTCGTGGATATTTTAGGGTTTTAGTAGGGTTTTAGAAGGGTTTTAGTGGGGTTTGTGGATATTTTAGGGTTTTAGTAGGGTTTTTGTAGGGTTTAGTAGGGTTTTAGTGGGGTTTGTGGATATTTTGGGGTGTCTAGCGCAGGGTTTTAGGAGGAGAAAGTGGGGTTTGGAGGGACCCCTTGGAGACAACCCTAATCTTATTCCCTTCTAGGACCTTTATGTATATATATATATATATAAATATATATACATATGTTATATTATATTAGATTATATTATATTATATATACACACACACCTTATATAGTCCCTATATATCTAAGTACCCCTAGATAAGCCATAAAGTCTGGTTTGGTTTCAGGCAGGTTTGGGTTTTGGGTTTTAGGGGTTTGGGGTTTAGGGTCTGGGGTGTTAGGGTTTAGGGTTTTTGAGTTCAGGATTTGTTGTGTTAGGGTTTAGGTTCCATGGGGACCAGTTGCGCGTGGCCTTTGCTCGCAGTGAGTCTGCCTGCTCTCCGCGCCAAGGATAGAAAGTGAGCTGCGACAGCTCGAGCAGCTTCTCGCAGACTGCGAGGCCTTGCAAGTTGAGCTCAACACCTGAGGCACCCATGAGAGCCTTTTCACGCCCGAAGTGCAGCTACGCTCTGGAGCCCCTATGGACCCGAAACCCTAAACTCTAGACCCTGATTTATTTCCCTCTAGACCCTAAACCCTAAGCTCTAAACCAGAGTTCATTTCCCAAAAGACCCTAAACCCTAAGCTCTAAGCCCGAATTTATAAGCTTTAGACCATCTTACGCTTTGAGCCCCAGCCCCAAAAAGAAGGACGAGGCACCCAGGTCTCTGTGACCACAGGAATCTGCAGAGTTGTGAGCCATTTGAAGCGGAACTCAGCCGGTTTGGGGTTTAGGGTTTAGGGTTTAGGGTTGAGATCAAGGTCTGTAATCCGCTGAGACGTTGGGACGGTGATTTGAGAGCTGAGTCCATGCCATCAGAAAGTGTCGAACCCACGCTGGCGCCGAAACACGCGGCGCCTGCTTCGCCCACAAAAAGGGAGGGCCGAAGTAGAAGTACCTAAGCCCCGAATCTACCAATCTACCCAGACAGGGTTTTTTGGGGGCTTGTCAAAAACAACTGGGTGTTCAAGGGGTTCTAGGGTTCAGCGCCTAACTATATCAACCCTACACCCCCACGCCCTTGTAGGTGGTCCCAGCGCGATAAGCTTCATCTAGCCGGATTGGAATCAACTGTTAGGTATGCAGCTCTCTTTTTCTTCGAAGTACATCTGTGTGGGTGTATACATCTCCCCTCCTTGTCGTCAGGGATTTTGCCTGGGTCGCTATACTTTTGGCTTCTGAAGCTTTCCTCTTTGAAGACGCCTGCAAGCAGAAAGGTGTAGGGTTTAGGCTCACCGCGGGTTTTGACTTTGGGTTTGGTTGGCAGAACCCCTCTACTGCACCGAAGCACCAGGAGCTTCTCGTTTCCGCAGCGGCATGCAGACAACCCCAAACCCTAAACCCTAAACCCTAAACCCTAAACCCTGCTAGTCTATGAGGAGTGTAGAATTCACCTCCGAGCATGCCTATAGGCATAAACCCTCCAATCCTACAGTGAGATTTTTGAAGCAAGCCAGCCAACCACCATGAGAGCCTCCTTTTGAGGGTTTAGGGTTTAGGGTTCAGGGTTTAGGATTGTTTGGACTTAGGAATACATTCGAGCCATGGTGTCGCAGTTCAACCGCCCATTGTTCCGGGCGCTGCAGCCTGTGCAGATAGCCAGGCGCGTCTACGTCCAACTTGCGGTACGCAGAGGTTAACCCTAATCCCGAAACCCGACACCTATACCCTGAACCCGAAACCCTAAACCCTAAACCCCTAAACCCCTAAACCCCTAAACCCCTAAACCCCTAAACCCCTAAACCCCTAAACCCCTAAACCCCTAAACCCCTAAACCCCTAAACCCCTAAACCCCTAAACGCAACGTCCTCACCTTCTAAACCCCTGCACAGTGAAGCCCAAAACCCTAAACCCCAAATCCCAAACCCTAAACCCCAACACCCAAACCCTAAACCCTACACCCTAAACCCTAAAGCTGTTTGGGTCTTTGGGACCGCTTAGGTACCCCGAAATGGCATCGTACAGCCCTAAGCTGCGGTTTAGGGTTTAGGGTTTAGGGTTTAGGGTTTAGGGTTTGGGGTTTAGGGTTTAGGGGCATGGGGTGCGGTTTGGGGTGTGTGTTTGTGAGTTGAACGGTTTACGGGTTTAGAGTATATACAAAAACGAAGAACAAGTATGAACAAATAAATAACTAATATATATGCATATATATATATATATATGTACCTAAACCCTGAACCCTGAAGGGCCATCCGAGGTTTCCTGGTTTAAGCTGCAGGAGGGCTTCGGGCTTTACGTGTTCAAGGGCTTCAAGGCTCTCAAGGGTGTCAAGTGTCTCAAGGGCTTCAGAGGGTTTCAGAGGGTTTGAAAGGGTTTGAAGGGTTTCAAGGGGTTTCAAAGGGTTTCAAAGGGTTTCAAGGGGTTTCAAGGGTTTAGGGCGTAGGGTTTTAGGGTTCAGGGTTTAGGGTTTAGGGTTGAGGCTCCGGTGGTTTTGTCGGCTTCCGCGCTGCAGTTGGCATCAGCTGGGCACGAGCGGCAGCAACAGCAGCTTCCTCCGGGAGCTTGCGAACAGCCTCGTGATGAAAGAGGCCTCCTTGCTGTGGCTTTGTGAGAGTCCCCTAAACCCCAAACCCCAAACCCCAAACCCCAAACCCTAAACCCTAAACCCTAAACCCTAAACCCTAAACCCTCCCTGAAGGCTACAGTGTATACATAGGAGCTTTTGGGCAACCTGAGGCGTCTCAAATTTAGAGGATGCAATCGCGCCCTATATTTATGGGTACCTCGGGCTCCCCCCCCCCCCCCCCCCCAAAAAAAAAAAAAAAAAAGGAAGAATAATAACAAGAAGCATGAGTCTAAGTGTTTTGTGGGGGAGGCTTTCAAGCCGTGACTAAAGGGTATTTTGGCCTTCTGGGGGTTCAGCAACGATTTAGGCTTCATAAGTTTAGGGTTTAGGGTGTAGGGTTTTGGGTTTTAGGGTTTCAGGGTTTAGGGTTTAGGGTTTAGGGTTTAGGTAACCCTTGACCAACCGTCTGCCCTCAAAAACAAAGCTCTGGATCACTCGTATAGGGTTTAGGGTTTGGGGTTTAGGGTTTAGGGTTGCTTCCGAGAGTTTCAGCTCCGCACTTCGCTACGCAGGTCACAGCTGCAAGACTGTCTTGCCGACTCAAGTGTAGGACACTAAACCCTAGCCCTAAACCCTAAACCCTAAACCCTAAACCCTAAACCCTAAACCCTAAGCTCCAGCCGGGGTTCGAAGGCTGGTGAGAAGGAGGTTGTGGGGGACCATCGATTCGCCACTTGGCCATGTTTCGGCTTCTGCTGGTTTAGGGTTTAGGGTTTAGGGTTTAGGGCTTAGAGTCTGGGGCACTCTTGTGCCCTTTTTTCGGTTCAGGGTTCCCTTTTTGAAGTATAAGCAGCCCAAAACACGGCACCTTTTGTTATGATATGGCTTCTGGGCTACCAAGCCTGCCAACCCCATCCAACTTCCAGCAAAGGTTTTTTGGGGTTTTGGGCTCGGGGAAAAGTGAACTCGGATTCCCAGACGTGCCCGTGCACCCATCTAACAGGGCTCAGGTGCTTCTGCAAGACCGGTTTCAACCTGTCCAAGTCCCCAAAGCCCCCAGGCACTTAACCCCCCTGCTGAGTATAAGAGCCTTAGGTCCCTAGTCCAAGCAGGTTGGGGGTGCTTTGGAGGGTTTTGGACCTTCCTGGGCCTACAGCATCTCCGTGTTTGGGGAGTCCCTGGTCCATTGGGAGTCTGAGGTTTAGGAAGTTACCATGTAGGGCTGTATGGTGTATCGGTATCGGGTTTAGGTAGTAGGGGCTCACGGCTTGTGATTGAGGAAGCCAGGGGGCACAAAAGGGCTGAGGGTGTACAGGACCTTAAGTGGCCTTTAAGGTCGAACGCGGGCCCTGAGCCGTGGCAATGGATGTGCAGAGGTCCTCCTCCTTCTTTCAGGTTGACCATTGGGGCCCTGACACCTTGTTGAGGGTATACAAACCCTGTTCTTCCTCAGGTGCGTAAGAGGAGCCCTAAACCTAAACCCTCCCCCGAGTTTGAGGGCCCACGCTACATCTCCAGACCTTGTTAGTTCTGTGCCCCTAGACCCTGAACCCTGAACCCTAAACACCCTGAACCACTAAACCCTAAGCCCAAGGCTTCTGAGCGCGTGTATTGGCTTCGCAGGCCATCAGTCCCAGGCCGCAATGAAGAGGGCATTCTGGGGTTTCTTATCGTGGCTCTTCGTGGGGAACTGTACTACGAGGTGCTCAAAACCACGCCCCCCATGGGTTTAAGGAGTTTAGGGTTTGGGGTTTAGCTGCTTTTTGCTTAAGACCCCCCCCCCTCAAAACATAAACCTTATTGGGGTTGTAGTATAGGCAGCATATCGGGGGGATGAAAGGCCCCTCACTCCACAATCCCCAGCCCCGATCGGAGATGCAGTGGGGGTAACCCTAAACCCTAAACCCTAAAAACGCTTATTGGAGTTTAGGGCCCATTTCTTTGCGAGGCTCTGCGAGTCGTGGAGGGTTTGGGGTTTAGGGTTTAAAGTTTAGGGTTTTAGAGTTTAGGGTGTGGGGTGGGGTTTCGGGCTACACGTGCAAGTTGGACGGCGGACGGCAAAGTGGATGAGGGTTAATTATAGGCAGAGGGCTTCTAGGGCTTGTTGTTGTTTCTGGTCTTTTGTTCGTGGTTTTAGCCGTTCAGGGTTTAAGATATCCCTCTCAGCCGTAAGCCCTAAACCCTAAACCCTAACTCCTGACCCCTAAACCCTAAACCCTAAACCCTAACCCTAAACCCTAAACCCTAAACCCTAAACCCTAAACCCTAATCCCTTAACCCAATACATCAGCCTGCGGATCCAGTGTTGTCCATGCCTTTCATGCACATGCCTTAGTGGATCTGATGCAGGGGCCTAGATATTCACCAACATCCTCCCGTCTGATGATCCTGTTGAAACTCATATAGCATATAATAGTCCTAAGCCACCCCACAAATATACGCCCTAGACGAACCCTAAACCCTAAACCCTGAGGCTTAAACCCTATGTGTAGTGTAGGGTTCAGACATCTTGGCAGGCTCCTTCGAAGTGGATGCCTCAGGACTCATAGCTGAGGGGCCCCATCCCCTCCCCCCATCCCCTCCCCACATCTCCTCCCCCATCCCCCCCCCCCCCCCCCCCCCCCCTCCCCTCCCCCCACCGCAACCCGCAAGGCCCTAAAGCAAACACACAAACCCTAAACCCTCAACCCTCAACCCTGAACCCTGAACCCTAATTCCGAAACCCTAAACACTGAACCCTGAACCCTGAACCCTGAACCCTAAACCCTAAACCCTACTTAAAAGGAGATTCCAAAGGCTTCGATGTGTGGAAGCGTGGAGTGCGTAGGACATCTTGAGGCAACAAGTCTGTGAGGTTGGGGGTTTAGGGTTTAGGGTTTAGGGTTTAGGATTTAAAGTTTAGGGTTGGATAGGACCCAGTGTGGGCCCTCATTCCCTGTTTGAAGGCGGAGCTTTCCTTATAAGTCCCCTTGAGAAGCCACCCCTTGTGATTCCTCGGTTTCTCTTGGGCTTAGCTGGCGGTTTGGTATTTCAGGGCTGTTGGGGCTGCTAGGGGTGGAGCTAGATTTTGGAACCTATAGGGTTTAGGGTTTAGGGTTTAGGGTGTAGGGTTTAGGGTTTAGGGGTCCAGGCCCTTGATAACTTGTACCTTTCCCTCTATGATGGGTCTAACCAGGGTTGCTAACCGTACGAGTGACCTGAGTCTAGAGCCTTGTTATTTGAGGGCAGACGGTGGGTCAAGGGTTACCCTAAACCCTAAACCCTAAACCCTAAACCCTAAACCCTAAACCCTAAACCCTAAACCCTAAACCCTAAACCCTCAGGCTGGATTCACCACACTGGAGACGCCACGGGGCTGAGATCCATGAGGGGGGGGGGGAGGGTTTAGGGTTGAGGGTTGAGGGTTGAGGGTTTAGGGTTTAGGGTTTAGGGGCGTTTCCCAGTATACTAACAGTCCTTAATAAAATTTTAATAGGGGTACTGTAATCCCTATTAAGGACTTAGCATAAGGGGGAACATCCCAAGTTTGGGGTCATAGAGAACTTCTCAAAATGCCCCTTCTACTGTTATAGGCCCCTAAGCGCCAGACGTTTGACATTTTTTAAGGCGACGCAAGTGCATGCGTTTCAGAAGTTAGTGTGTTGGCGCACGCGCGTGCGTGCACGCGAGGGTGTGTGTGTGTGTGTGTGTGTGTGTGTGTGTGTGTGTGTGTGTGTGTGTGGGCGGTTGGTGGTGTGTGCGTGGGCGTGTGTGCGTGGGCGTGTGTGTGTGGGCGTGTGTGTGGGCGTGTGTGTGGGCGTGTGTGTGGGCGTGTGTGTGTGTGTGTGTGTGTGTGTGTGTGTGTGTGTGTGTGGGTGGGTGGGTGTGGGTGGGTGTGGGTGGGTGTGGTTTGCACTGTTTCGGGTCTAGGGCCTAGTTTCCCAGGAAGCTTTGGGTTTTAGGCTTTGGGTTTCGGAGTGAGCAAACACTCCAAACCAAACGCACAGCACACCCCCAAGTCTTCATCAAGCTGCTCTGATCTTTTGCCATACAAGGGTTCTGGAGTTCTTGAGGGAGGGGGTTCAAGGGGGGTATGTAACCCAAGGGAACTCCAAAACTCCCCACTTCTCCCGAAGGCTCCCTCAGCTTCCCAGCTTGCCTAGGTACCTCCCCCCCTTGATTGAGAATTCCCCTCAACCCTAAACACTAAACCCCAAACCCCCCTCCCTTAAGAACCCTATACGGGGGAGGCTCCCTGGCACCGCCATCACCTAGCTGCTCCTCCAACTCATGCCGCCCTGAAGCCTAACAGACACCCAGACCTAAAACCCTGAATCCTAATCCCCGAAACTCTAAACCCTAAACCCTAAACCCTAACCCCTAGACCCTGAACCCGAAACCCTAAGCCCTAAGCCCTAAGCCCTAAGCCCTAAGCCCTAAGCCCTAAGCCCTAAGCCCTAAGCCCAAGAATTGAGGCGGCCTTTCTCTTCAAGGCTCGTCCTTGGGCTCTTCGACCTGGCGGCGCAGGACGAATGAAGACCCCTCGAAACCCTATATCCCAACCGTAGGGTTTAGGGTTTAGGGTTTAGGGTTTAGGGTTTAGGGTTTAGGGTTTAGGGTTTAGGGTTCAGGGTTTAGGGTTTAGGGTTTAGGGTAAGCTGGCCCTAAGTAGCGATACCGAGCGGAGGCCATGCGGTTGCCTTCAGCCCCCCAGTCGTTTTGTAGTTTTTTTGACCCCGAGGGTTTCTATAGGGTTTAGGGCCTGGGTCCTAGGCCCAAATCTTCCTAAACCCCGAGGCCCTGAACCCTAAACCCTTACGCCCTAAACCCGAAACCCTAGCACCCGAATTTTCGATCCTTTGGGCGGCGCAAGGGGGGGAGGGGGGGCACTCTGTACCAGGAGCCGTCGATGCTGTGGGTGGCCGACCGCCTCTCAATGGACTGCGGTTTAGGGCTTAGGTTTGGGGCTCAGGGTTTGGGGTTTAGGGTTTGGTGTTTGGGGTTTAGGTTCAAGGTTTAGGACATGTCGGGGAGGATTTTGGGTCTCAGCTTAGTGGCTTTGTTTCGGCAAGAAGGGAATTGTCATTCCTTTTGTGCTCGCTCAACGTTTCGGGCCCCTGGTTCTTCTGGATTTTTGCACTCTGCCTGCCCGCAGGCAACTTGCCGAAGAACCGAGTAAAATCCCTGCCTGGAGGAACCGCCATACCTTAAGCCTTAAACCCAAAACTCCAAACCCCAAACCCTAAACCCTAAACTATTCTGTTTTGATTGCGGGCAACGTGGCATACTCCAGGTCAAAGCCGAATCCCCCCCCCCCCCCCCCAAACCCACAGCCGACACCCTTAACCCCAAACGAGTGGAGGGCGAGGCCTGGGAAAAAAAAGCAGGGAATCGCCACCATCATCATGTAAACTTCCCTTCCTATAGGGTCATATCGACAGTCTTTAGGTACCTTCTAAGAACCCACCTAGATAGCATATATCCCCTTATCAGAAGGACCCCGATGAGGCATAACTTCGGAAACCCTAAACCCTAAACCCTATTCCCTAAACCCTAAACCCTAAGCCCTATTCCCTAAACCCTAAACCCTAAACCCCCCTATGCATGTTCTGGGTAGGCTGAGGGCTTCAGTCAAATTATGGTGCCCCCTCGCAGGGCTGCCTTCTATGATGCCCTAAGTGCCGTTTAGGGTGTTAGGGTTTGGGGTTTAGGGTTTAGGGTTTAGGGCTTGGGGTTTAGGGTTTAGGGTTTAGGGCTTGGGGTTTAGGGTTTAGAGTTTAGGGTGGGGGGAGGGGTGTTCGGGGTAAAGAGCCCCCTTTAGCTGTGCCAAGTGTGCTGATGTGGGGTTCACCGCGTGAGGCTTCAGGGTTCAGCGGATACGAGTTAAGGTTGTTGCCTACATGATATACATGAACAACCTACCTACGGAGGTTAGGGTTTAGGGTGTAGGGTCAGGGCTTAGGCTTTAACGTAAACCCAAAGGGTTTTGGGCTTAGGGTTCAAGGATTTTTGGGTCTAGGCGATCAAAACCTCAGAGAGGACAGGAATGGCCGCCCG